GGTCAAAGATTAGAGGCTCCAGGGGGTACGTGTGGGGTCTTTGGAGACCTAGATAAAATTGATACAATATGCTGCATAGGTAATAGGGTAAATGGTCTGTTTTAACAGCCAAACTAGATTTTTGAGAGTAGTTAGCAGACAGGAAGATGTTTCAGTTTGAAAATATATTCCAGTGTACCTGCAAAAGTAAATTTGCTGTAGGAATGAAATCATTGTAACTTTTAAGGAGAATTCTTAGAGATTTAATTCTGCTAGGCAAAGCATGATCCTACCTGGAAGAGGTTCCCCATCAAAGAGATGTGGTGGGTGGTTGGTGGCCACCATAGGACAGGGACGCTGCCCTTAACCTCGACAATTATAACAAAAGTCTCTTTGTGGACTCAGTGTGTTGCCTCAATAAATATTCACAATGATAAAAGCCAGGTCTCTTGGAGCCAGAGGGCTCAGGGGCCATTCAAATGAACACCTTAACTGCATTATGAAGATTAAAAGTGAGATCTCCCAAACGAAAAATGTACTTTCTTGTTTCAGTGAAAAATGTTATATTTATGCCCTAAGGTCTTTTGCCTAAAAGTATGCAATTAGGCTCCGAACAGACTTTGGCAACCAGCAGAGGAGGTGATATACCATGTCTATACATTTATTTTCTCTTTCCTTCTACCAATTCACTTTCTCTCCTCCTTCCTTCTTTTGCTTTAAGTCCTAGGAAACTTCTCTACTCTGTTAGAGAACCTGAATTGCTATGAGGGTTGGTGTATAAGAAAAGAACATTGCTGAGGGCATACTTCAGTGTAGATCGCTTGCCTAATGTGAGAGGCTGTGAGTTTAATGTCCAGTGTGTGTGTGTGTGTGTGTGTGTGTGTGTGTGTAGGGGTGTGTGTGTATCTTCTAGGTTTGCTTTGTCATAAGGAAAAATGGCCACATCGGATATGATTTCTGCATGAAGAACCCCCCGTCTGTTTAAAAAAGGATGATAAATCTGAAACATTTATAACCATCCACAACAAGGCACAGTTTCTTTGAGCAGCCTTCTGAAAAGCTGATTATCTTGCCCAATTACTGAGGCCATATGTAATGTTTGTGAATAAGACTTCCTTCAGAATCAAAAGGCCTGAGCATGGAAAGGCAGCAACAAAAGAATTAGCAAGTACACTGATTCTTCACGATACACTATTTTGCTATGTATGTGTGTGTGTTTTCACTTTATAAAAAAACAGCGGGGTCTGGTGAGATGGTTCAATGGGTAAAGGTGCTTGCCGTGTAAGGCTGGTGATCTGAGTTCAATCCTGGAATTCATGTTAGGGTAGAAGTAAAGAATCTACTCCACAAAGTTGTCCTCTGGCATGTGCCCCCCCATAAATAAATAAATAAATAAATAAATAAATAAATAAATACATAAATAAATAAATAAATAAATAAATAAATAAATAAATAAATAAATAAATAAATAAATAAATAAATAAATAAATAAATAAATAAATAAATAAATAAATAAATAAATAAATAAATAAATAAATAAATAAATAAATAAATAAATAAATAAATAAATAAATAAATAAATAAATAAATAAATAAATAAATAAATAAATAAATAAATAAATAAATAAATAAATAAATAAATAAATAAATAAATAAATAAATAAATAAATAAATAAATAAATAAATAAATAAATAAATAAATA